GAAAAGTGGTAAATATAGGATTTGCATAAACAATGCATTTATTGTAAATTTGCCATTATAACCACAAAGGCTTTAATTAGATTCACACAGAAATCAGAACTGGCCCCTGATTATCTCTGGGGGTAGGAACAGATCCCAGATGATATGTATTTGCAAGTGTATGTATTTATTTTTATTCTTGCAATTTTGCATTTTCACATAGGCCACTCTACGTTGTTTTACTGATGTCTGGTTGTCTGCTCAGTATAAACTGGTTAATGCTGATAAGCAGACAGAAAATAATGAGAATCTTGATGCCATTTAATTGCACCAAAATGCATGCTATGTGTAAGTCTTGAGGGGTTGAAGAACAAAACAGAAGGCACTTTGTAACCAAAGTTTTCCTCCACTCCTTAAAGACGTATTGGGTTGAAGAATTCAAAGTTATCCACTCGTTAAGTTCTGTCACATCTGAAAAGTGTTAAGGAATCTAGCACTGTCCAGAAAGCAACAGCTTTGCAGGAACAAAATGCCTATGATGCACAGTTATTCAACTGTCACATACCTTGTGCTTTATGTTCATTTCTAGTCACCACCTACTTCAGAACTGGGGTTGGGAAAATAAGTAAAACTCTGGATTAATTTCAAAAGCAGAAGAGATTACACTAAATACTAATGAAACATGCAAGTAGCTGCAGGATGCTAGGCAGCTGCTGGCTATACACAGGGAATATGGCACCACCCAGTGGGAAGAGCACTACATGAAATATCTGCATTAAAAGAGCCATGAAGAAATGTAACTCTTCAGGGTTCACTGGGGTTTTTTGTTTGCCTTAGTTTTGTTTGTTTGCTTTTTTGTAATGGAACTGCTACCTATTTTGGGGGTCTGTAGATTAGCTTTGGAGGGAAAAAAAAGGAAAAAACCCATGGATTTCAGTTACAGAAATTAACATTGTATCCAACTGTACTTCCTAGAATGGCCTCAAAAGAATTTTTATTTTGTGTATCTTGCTAAGGCTTTCCCCCAAGCATTTTTCATTCTGTTACAATCTCTCCACTACAAATGTCAACTAGATCTTACCTTCTCATACAGCCTCAGAAGAATCCCCTCCTCTTAATTAAGAAATTACACCTTTTTTATTCAAAGAGCTCAGGCCAAAAGTCAGATTGCTTTAACTTTCAACACACTTTAAAAGTGAAATTCTAATGTGCTTAACTATCACCCATATTTTCAGCTAATCAGGTGCTCAGCCCTTGAGACCTGTGATCAGAACTTACTTCTGATATTTTCAGATTGAATTACAATGATGTGAAAACCTTTATTACTCCATAAATTTACCAATCTTTTAGTTTATTACAAACAGGCTCACAGGAGCGTGAACTGGAAATGTTGGAAGGTCAACGTATCACAGGCTGCATAATTGTTTCCAAATTGCACTACATTATATCATTTGTGTTGTTTTGCAAACAAGACACCTCCTTTTCTGTCGTCCTCCCTCCCCAAAACTATAGGTGGAGTTTTTTTGGAAGGATTAAAGCTCTGCTCACCTGAACAAATTACCAGAATATAGGCTGACCCTGCTTTGGAGCTTTCACTGGTCATACGGTATCTGGTAAGCTTCAAGCAAGCTCCATCTACACCAAATTAAGAGGTACATGAAAATCACAGAATAACAGAATGGTTTGGGCTGGAAGTGGCCTTAAAGAGCATCCAGTTCCAAGCTTCCCACCTCTTCCCCAGGCAGAGACAAGTTTCAGTAGACCAGGTTGCTCAGGGTCCCATCCAACCTGGCCTTCAACACTTCAAGGAACGGGCATCCACAATTTCTCTGGGCAACAAAGGATCAATACTACAATACAAGCTAGTGTATGTACTACAAGCTTATGTAGGTTTTTTATAGAACTTATTTTTCCCCTTCCCAAAAACACAAAGTGTCAGCATTATTCCATCATCTCAAAATACAGTTTGGAGCACACCTCCAGTAAATTCCCTGTCCTTTTACGCAGCATGTTTCTTGATTAGTACCTACAGTTCATTTAAATGAAAGTAAGGGGATAAAGGTACAGATGAGTGTTTCATCATAAACTCACAAAAACAAACTGAAGCATAAGTTTCATCTTGTATTTATTTAGTTTTGACAGTATGCACAAAATACTTTACGTTTCCAAGCTGAGAGATGTTAAGTCCAGTTCTGAAAAATCAACATTAAAAACAAAGTACACAGACAGACACAGTGCAGCTGGGGGTAAAAAAGGTACATACATGAATTTAGGGTTTTTTTCTAAACCTATTCCCAGATTGTAAAGCTCAGCATAACCAACCTGTTTCCACAGATACCACAGCATATCACAAACCCTCCTGGACAGCAGGCTTCAGCTTCCACAGTAGGTAAGCTTGTAACAACCCTGAAGAAACCCCACACAGCTCATGGTTCCTGAGCCAGAAACACTCAATGGCTTTAAGTGACAGGTCCTGGGTGTAGACAAGCAACATCTCCCTGGGACAGCAGAGGCAAATATCTGATCCTTCAGGAGCACAGGGGAGTCTTGTCTCCCACATCATCCTCCTAGGGAGGGGAACTTGTTCCCTTCAAGGCACACACAGCAACCCAGCAAATCCTGCACAGGCCAAGCCTTTCCTGAAAGCTTTCTACCAAAAGCCACAGAACACTAGTCTTTGACTCTTCTAGCCCACAGAAATAACTACCTCCACTTTTATCTTCCAGTCTTCCCCACTGTATTGGAATGGCTGCATTTTGTACTCAAAATACGATACAGTAGGTATTGTACTGTCATAAAACCAATATGCACTGCCAGTGGAATTCTCTCACACACACATGTCTTAAGAAAAAAGCTGAAGTAATTTTCTTAAATACAGCACATGATTTCAACATCCAATATATGTAGACATCTCACATCCATAACTGGACTGATATCCATGGACTACAGTTTCTCTGGTTACAGATGGAGGCCTCAACTCATAAACTTAGAGCAAGTATAATTCTGCACTTTCTTCTATCCCTCATAAGCATGTCTTCAAAACTGCATATGCTCTGCAAGTGCTAAGTGTTTCTCAAAGCCCATTTTAATTCTAAACACATGGGATACTAAAGAGACAATGCATGGCATTTGTTTAGCACAAAAAACCCCCTGTTCTTTTCTTTAAGAAGGGAGTTGTCTTTTCAAGTTCTGATTTTTATAAAAATAAACAGATGACAGCCAAACTTTCATTGATCAACAGTTACAAAAAACCAAAAACAAAAAAACATTAAAACAGATTAAAAAGAACTGCAAGATTGCTCAGTTTTGGATAAGAAAACATCCTTAGGCTCCCTTCATGTAATACATGAAGAACAATAAATTTCAAGGTTTAAGCAAATTTGTGCTTTCCTCTAAATATCAACTGAGGAAAAAATTGTTTATATGAATGACTAATTAAAAAACTATTCTGCATTTAGATGATATGCCCACTTGCTTTCTATCATTCCTGCTAAGCTGAAACTGAGCTCAAACTGCTGAGCATTCACAATGATAAGAACAAAATGCCAGCCAGGTTAATCCTAAAACTGCAAATCTGCCAAAACTCAGTATGTTCATTACTCTGACTGCATTTCCTAAACGTGCTCCCTGGAACAGACAATAATTTGAGCTACCACTACTTCCAAACCAGAGAATAATCATCAACCTTACAACTGCTGATTCTCTTTAGTTATTCTCCATTATTTCTATAAAATGCTAATTATTTCTAATTCTACTATTATTTCTATAATTCCATGGTTGGGACTGCTTTATATACCAGTATCATTGTCATATTATGTACAACTTGGCACCTTCCAAGAGACCCAATTCTGCTTCCTTGGACAGATGTAAAGATTTTTATTCCATAAATTCACTTTTCCTGCAATTCTGGAAAAGAAAAACATGGTTTAAACAGGCAGAATATACTATTTGTTTTAGCTGCTAAACAAAACAATTACTATTGCATGATGTACATAGTCCTTCATGATGTAAACTTCTGCGAATGTAGCATTAACAGAAAGTCTTTTATTAGCATAAAGAAGAACAAACAAATGCACCAGCTATGACAACATGCATGTTTTAGTCTACATGACAGAAAGGCAGTTCAGAAGTGTGGTATGTATTCTTAAAACAGGTGAAGAGCAACTACTCTACAATGTGTTATTTTGGTACATGGATTATTATGCTATGAGTTAAAAAAATACTGTCACAAATTACCAAGTGATCTGTCTTCCTTTCACTAGGTCAAACCATTCCTCAAGAGGTATATTTAGAGTTTTATTTGACTCAGCAGACGATTGTCTGAGTGTTCTCTTATATTTAAGATACTTCAATATACTAGAACAGCACATGGAAACTGACTAGTTATTCAACATTTGAAAACACATAGCAGGAGGAAAACATGCTGGAAGTACTACTGAAACAGCAAGAAGACTGGAAAAGCTGTAATTGAACCTCTCCCTGTGTTTTTCTTTAAGAAATCACAATAGCAAAATTTACCAGCTTGAAAATGCCATCGTGACATTTCACCTTAGCGAACTAAATTAACAACCCACACCATAGTGCATATTAGGAGATTCAAAATTCTTTACTTGTGGGGAAAGAAAAAAACCAAAACAAACCATCATGAAATGGGTGCCTAAAGTAAGGGGGGCGGAATGAAACTCCTTCAAGTAACTTTTACCAACCTAGAATGGCCGCCTCCTTCTGCATTCACCCGCCTCCATCAAACGGTTAAAAAACATTTTTGTTTGCGAGAACCCCCGTCACGCCACGACAGCCCGGGCAGCTCTACCTGCAAGCACAGCTCCGGCCACCGCCGTGCCGGAGCACGGGCAGCCCGGCTCAGCAGGGCCCGGCGGACCGGCCCAGCCTCGGGGCCGCGGCAGGAAGCGGGCGGAGCTGCCGGGCGGCCAGGGCCGGCCCTCGGGAGCGGCTCGCAGCGCCCCTCCCGGCAGGGCCGCCGGGCGTGCGAGGGACGGCGAGGGGGTCCCCTCCGTTACCTTCCCAGAGGAAGTGGCCGCCCTCCCGCCGCAGGAACTTGTACCAGAAGGGGCTGGCGGCGTCCTCGTCCGGCAGCGCCACCTCCGCCAGCCACAGCGCGGGCTCCTGGGCGGGCAGCGGGGCGCTCGGCCGCGCCCGCCTCATGGGCACGGCGCGCCGCGGGTCCCACTCGCCCAGCTCCGGCCGCGACCCGGCCACCAGCAGCTCCGCGCCGCCCTCCGTCACCCGGGCGGGCAGCACCACGCCGAAGCGGAACAGCATTTTACTGCCGTACAAAGAATGGGCTTTAACGAGGAGCTCTCCTTCTGCTGCAGCACGGCTGGCAGTAGATCGCCGCTGGGAGGCCGCCCGGGCCCGCCCTTCCGCCGGGCTGGGGGCCGGACACCGCCCCAGCCCCGCTCACCGCCCGTGCCCGGCTGTGCCGCGGACACTGCCTCTATCCCAGACACAGCCTCTGCCCCAGACACAGCCTCTGCCCTTTGCGGAGGCCGAGCGGTGACTCCGGAGATCGGGGCTGTTCCCGGTGCGGTTGTTTCGGGCCCTTGGGCGCCGCACGCGTGTAGCCGAGGGAACTTCCCCTCCGAAAGTGGCGGCTGGGAGTTCAAACAACACCGACCCTCGATCGCCTCCTAAGTGGGGAGGGAAAATCCTCTCTGCAGATAAACGCTGGCTCTCCAGAGATTGGCAACCCAGGAGAGCCCGCTGGCTCTCCTGGTTGCCAAAGGCTACGCGTCACGTATGGTGACTTTAACAAGGATTATTGCTGCATTAAAGGAAGCCACAGCAATTACTGCCAAGAGCCCAGGCTTAATTTAGCGCAGTAAAAAACATCATTGAAAATTGCCATACTTGCAGCTACAAACAAGGACTGGCTGCAAATAACGCTTTAGAGTTCATGATGTTTATGTCTTCCTCCCGACAGCCAGCAGTCGTGGTGAGAAAAGAAATGTGAAATGCTGAGGGAGGATCGAAAGCTTTTAAAAGAAATCTGGAGTCCGCTGCACGCGTTCTGTTTACAGCCAGAAGGGGAAAATTTGGCAACTCCTACGTGGTAGCAATACTCAGGACTTAAAAAGACTGAGGAAGAGGATGCAAGCCAGCCATTTAATAGGCGGTCCCTGCTTGAATACACCCATTTCAGAAGCTTTTAAGCACAGAAACAGAGGAGTGGTAACTTTATTTAGGTCAGGTTCTGGGAACAGGATGAAGGCCTTTCAATGAGTCAAAAGAAATCCTGCCTCAAAAGATGGCTGTTTGTTTCCTTTATTCAGGGGTGGTGACACTGAAGCGTATGTGCTGCCAAATTTATTTTTAAGAGTGCTTTAGCCAATTTTCACTGATACTCATTGAATTTGTGTAAGTGATATTCCACCACTTTTCCAGACATAACCAAAGCGAATTAAATTCTCACTGTCCTCCATTTCTGCTGGCTTTACTGTAGCACTGCTGCTTTTGTGGACCAGTGCAGTACTTTTTCAGTACTTTTTTTTTTTTCACAACCTTACAGTTAAGCTACCCATACCCTGTCTCATAATTGTCTTTCAAATATCTATCTCTTTACCATACACCTGCATTTTAGCAGCATGGATGAGACAGAATGTAACAACTTTGGGGTTTTATCCTAAAGCTCAAGCATGACAGGAGCCGTAAAACCACCCCAGCATATTGTGTCTACATAAAACTGTATGCTTCTGCTCATTCCAGTCACAGTCTCAGCTTAGAAACTGCAGGATCCAATAGGACATCTGACTGACAGTTTAGTTCCTGGCTGTTGTCTAAGCCCAAGTGTAAACAGAGACCAGCAACATCCATCTTTGGACAAATCTGAACTGCTTTATGCCTGTAAATATTGAGTACTCATCTTAGACCTGTAAGCCTTGTGGAACAATAAAAATTTGTTCTATAGACTCTGATGTGCCAAGTATCTTTAAAAATAATTCAGTCCATTTCTTCTCCAGCATCTGCCTTAATCCGTTTCATGCCACTCAATATTGTGTGTTAGATTAAGGTTAAAGATGACAGAAAGTGGCCAGCTTGATTTCCTGTGGTTTCCTCAAACGCCCTAATGCCAATTAGGGTTAGGTTGAGAGATCAACAGGAAGGACTGAAAAACTGGATCTACTGATGGATCCTGCAAGACTGAGATAAAAACTAGAAATGTGGATTGGCTTGGGACATCCCATGGCTGGGAACAGTGGGAACAGAGGAGCAGTTTATATTGGTGAAATTGCAGGCTGAATGGGGGCTGTAGACAGGGTAAAATTTATTAGCATTAGATCTGAGACTGAAGAACTAAAGGTGCTGTAGGGTTTCATTTTTAAGGTCAAGAAACAAAGGCAAATATATGTTTGTTCTTCCCTGTTGGATTTGCATGGTCTCTGATTTGTCATCTTCTAAACTGGAATTTCAGCTGGAGTAAAGGCAGGGGAGGTGGGGAGGAGTTCTGTTTACTGTTAGTATTTGGGATTGAAGGAGTTGATGAAGTACTTCCACAGCTGAACCATTGCCATAAACCTAAATTTAGTTTTAAGTGTCACCCTAAGCCTCTTAAGGAATTAACAATAGTTTCCTTTGCCAAAATGACCTGTTAGTCCAGTACTGCCTGGCCAGTGCTCTTCCCCTACAGTCCTCAATACTATTCTGAAACCTAAAAGCTTTCCCTATAATCCAGTCATCTTTTACAACCTCAAATTAAACAGGACTATTTTTTTTTTTTTCCCCACTATAGTAAGTCCTCATAACAACTTGGCAAGCCTTACAGTTCCAATCAAAAAGCTTTGGCACAAAGGGGCAAAACCCTAATAGTCAAGTTGTTTTTAACTGTCACAAAAACAACTGTCAATTGTTGATTCCTGTGGGAACAAACTACCATCTTAGTGGTCTGTCTGCACTGGAATAATAAATGCTGTGCATCAGTTGTGCTCCTCACAGCTGTTTAGGATCTCTCAGTATGCTTAACTTACAGCAGCTGCTTGCTGAGTGGAAGCCTCGATTGACCTCAAATTGAACAGAGAACTTAGTGCCGAGTTTATTTTAAAGCCTTCAGTTTATTGTTTCTGCTACCATCCCAGGCATTTGCTAAAGCTCTTTCTCACTGGCAAAAAGGGAAGAATTGTATGGAAAAAAAAAGTCAGCTTATTTTTACACAGCATTAGTGAGCAAGAAGGGACTGGAGAGATCACAGTTTCTGCAAGAATCAGTTTCTTCATGGATTTCACCTAAATTGTACCAATACATAGTAGCCTTATGTAATTTCTAGCTAATTAGTTGGTTTATTATCCAAAATTTGTGCAGGTGGTGAGGATCTCACAGGAGGACTCACTGAGGCTGTGTACCAACTTAACATCAACCAACCATTAGTTATGCCTTCAGGTTTCTGCCTAATGGCTGTATCTGAAAGGATTCTAAGGAAAAGTCTGAATGTCCAGAAATTGGAGCTGTGACTTCATTTGCAGACATGTAAAACACATTTAAAGGCATTTTCACTTGCTGTGCACTAAACTTTTGTAGAATCAGAGTTCTTTCTGCAGAAGTCTAATTTCTTATAGTGTCTCTTTCAAAGATAAAATTATCGTATTTTTGTGAGCCCAAGAGTTTTAAACTATTTGTTACAACCCAAGAAAACTTAGGCAAAGTATTGCTGGCTGAAATTTTAGTAGAAAATAGTTGAGAAGTTTGACAGTATAGAGCAGTTCAAAATTCAGCTTTCCAAGTGCAAAGTAATTTTTTCTTCACAATTTTCTTATTTTAAAAGTGTCTGCTAGGTATAGAGACAGCACAGACTTATCTGATCAATGTGAACACTACTAAAGTGACAGCTGAACTTAACAGTTCCACATTGGGGTAGCCTGTGTCTGCAGTGTATGTGTTCTTTACTGATTCCAAACTTTTACCCCATAGCCCATTTGCAGCTTGGAACAGCTTTATCTGTTATTGCTGCACAGTGATCTCAGATGGTAATATTTCCAAGTAGGGAAATCTGTAGTGAAGAGAGAGGGTTTGAATAACAAAAACAAAACACAAATACAGAAAGATCTGGTTGGAGAAGGGAGGGAGTGTTCCTGATTGCAAGTTGTGGGTGATGTTTAGATTAGCAGTGCTCCTTCCTAGACTTGCCTTTCTTCCCTTTTTAGGTCATTTTCTTTCTTGTAAAGATACAGAGAAAGTGTTATTGCAATTCCCAAATGTTTCTGCTAATTATAGAAAAGAGAAAGACAGCACATGGTACACAGTCTTGCTTGTAAAAAGGCAAACATTTATACTATGTGATAAGTTGATTTAGATGTATTAGTGATTTGGTAAAATGTTCATTGCTGAAAAATTTAGACAGCCTGTATTTCTTCAAAGAGATTGAGCTAAATATAAAAGAAACCCTATTCTAATGCAAATAATTTAAGACCAGTGTTTAAGTGAAAGTTGATTATGTTGATTAATCTAAACTAATCAATCTGCGGACCCAGACCTTCCAATTGAATTCTAACTGTCCCTCTCATATTAATTCTGATAGAACTATGAACGAATGCACTCACCAGAACTTCTATTTTGACAATACAGCAGCTAAGAAATACCTTTATAGACTGAAAGAAGACTAAGAATTAAATAACTTGTTCACAGATAAGCACTGCTATCCATAATTTTTAGTGTTGAGCTGTGTCAGAGCAGTGATAACTGACACACTAAGCATTTTAGCTGCTTAGTGCTAGGAGCAACCTTTTATGCAGCTACAGAAGTTCTGTCAGGACTGACCATTTCAGGAACTGAGTTGGAAAATTATTCTGCAACGATAGGACACTACAGGAGACGGTTTCCATTTCTGCATGGGGGTTTGTGTAGCATGTTTTAAAATAGTTTGTTGTTTTTAGAAGTAACTTGGCAGTATAAATATTCAATAACAATACAGTAAACATTACAGAAATACATACAGGAATAACTGATCTGGTAGGTTTCTTTTTTCAACATCCAGTTAAGCTGTCTGCATCCTCCCCAGCCTCATAGGCCTTGGGAGCTGGAAAAAGTCCCAACATATTTCAGCAAGGGGACCTTTCAGGATGTCCTATCAGCCTCATCAATGTCCAGAAATTAATGAATATTGCAGACTAGTCTAGCACATGGCTCCTTTCCTGCCCAGAATGAGCCACACAGTTTTTGGAGGGATGCTCCACATGATCTGTGGTGCATTTGCACTGGGATGCTGTGACCCAAATCAGCCCAGAGTTCTGATAGCCCTAGCAGGATCATGGCTCTTCTGCTGGGCACAAAGGGATGAGAGAGGCCAAGTGCTTACTTGGAGATTGAAGTACCTGGATATTCTTGAGTGAAAAACAGTGTGTAGCAGTAATCATTACAGTATTAACTCACTGTAAGCTTCATTTTTGAAACCAGCCTGTTACCACC